TCTTGGGCCTTTTTAGGGAAGTGTTAAAGAGACGCCAGAAACAGAGCTCTCTCCACAGTTATTTTGCGAGACAGGACTCCATTGGCTCTCAAGGTGGTCCTAGTGGCATTAAGAAACAGAGAAGACAAGCAGCCCCAGAGAAGCAATTGGTACTTGAGGTGTTGATGGAAGGGGATTCCCCTTCCAAACTATAAACAATCCACTCTCTCTCTCTCTCCTCCTCCAGTCTCCCATACACTAAGAAGAATCTCCAATAAAGGCAAGTGTTATGCTGTTAATGTTTCATTCATCATTTCCCATTGTATTGTTTATGTACTACATGTATATTTCACGTAAAAATTTTTTTTGTTTTAATACTTCTGGGTGTCAGGAACGGATTAATTGTATTTACATTATTTCTTATGGGGAAAATTGATTCGTAAATCGTAAATTTCGTTTATAGTAACGGCTCCAGGAACGGATTAATTACGAAAAACGAGGGACCACTGTACATCTCTGCCACAGTTGTCTCCTTCCACTTGTGTAGCTGTGATTTTGGTGAGAGAATTGTATTTGCCATGGTGTAATCATAGTATGTGTTTGTTTCCCTGACAATGATGTCCATCAGGGGTTCATCGAAGAATAACTCAAAGCAGTCCAGTTCACTAGCATTGTTCCCAAGTGGACATGATGACTTTATTTCACTTTGTGTTTCATCAAAGTCATGGGGACTGGGAACAAACTCGTCACCGTCCTGCCAATCTCAGATGCGGTCTGCTGGTGGGTTCTGGATATTGTACCGTGGTTGTGGTTGTGCAGGTTGTGGGAGTGTGGGGTCGGGTGAGGCTGGTTGTTGTGCAGAGGCAGCAGCGTGGGTAGTAGCATGGCCCGCTGATGGTGCTACATGGGCCGTGCCACCCTCACTATCACCACCACTGCCTGCTCCCTCACTCACATCATTCATACCCATCGTAACAATATCGTCATCTTCACCATCAGGTCATGGTGTAGGGCCACGGGATGTGCTCCCAGAGTTTCTCCTTCCCCTTGGAACAACATATGAAACACTACCAGACAGCATGCTATGTCGTACATACTGCTGCTTCACTGGGGAATATTCACCCTCACTGTCACTAGAACTGCTTTCAATGACCTTGAAATCACTATCACTATCACATTCACTGCTAACATCTGGGTGTTGTACACGACCAAATAGTTTCCTCTTTCGTCCTGGTACAGGCGAACGTGAACGTGAACAAGCCGGCCCAGCACCAGAGGTGGAAGGTTGTGGGTCATCTGGGTTTTCTCCACTAATTACGTTATCCTGGGCACTTTTTCCGGTAACACTCGCTTCAAAACCCTGGAATTCACTGTCACTGACATTTTCATCGCTGTTAGAGCTATCACTTGGGAACAAAAGACCAATCCGCCGAGGAGTGAGGAACTTCTTACCGAGAGGCATGGTGAAAATGGACTAACAAGATGGTGTTCCCACAATGCACCGTTGGGTCCCAGATTTTTTTCACAGGGTGCACACCGACCACTGAGACCCATTCTCTCTCATGTAGGCCTACCAGGCCTTTCCCGCTTGATTTGAAGCCACTAGAATTTGTGCGTATAAATACGTCAGAAACATTGGCTTGTAAGACGTATTTATACGGCATAAATAGTCAAAGGGTTAAATACACTAACCAATTGGATAGCACAAGAGAAGTGTGAGAATTGAAATTCTATAGGAAAGTGCTTTGCTAGTCTACTAAGTGTCCACAGAAAAAAAAACAAGTTAGCCAATGTAAATCATGTCACTTTCAGCAAAAATGTAACAAGACCACAGAGGTATAATGTTACAGATGGGTTTGAGAGTGGTAAGGAGTCCTTACCAAATGGGTCGGGTTTATTGAAGAAGAGGGTCGTGAAGTTTGCCAGCGTGTCCTGTCTCATCGATGCCTCAATTGCCCGCAAGTGGTAGCCTGTGCTTGCTGTTCATATGAGCAGATTGGAGTATGAACTGCTGTAGGTCATGCATTATTGATCTATGAGTGACCCAGACTCGATCGCTAAATTCCTATGATTAATGGTCTCATACACTAACATACCATTGACATGACATACCACTAAGAATTAAGACTACACCAAACTAGTGTCATACTGTGATAATTTTTGTTGTTGAGCAGTGTTGATATTTTAGACTCCTAGGGCCAAGAACAAATACCCTATCTAGTGAGCTACTGTGGCTTAGCGCTTCTTTTTGATTATAATAGTAATACGTAGTGAGCTACTGTGAAAATGACAACCAAAATGTCCATGTGTTTTCTCTGGTACCAGGGAAGCTAGCAGTAGTCACACTGTTAGTTGTAAGTTATGCAGAGGATGGGTGCATGTAAGATGTACTGAATGCCTAAATTATGAAGAGTGCAGTAATGCTATCTTCATTTCATATGTAACAAATGCCAAGCATGACAGGAGTCGACGAAGTTAGTATACACAAACTGTCATACTTTATGACTACATTATACAGTCTAAATATGAAGAATAGGGTATTTGATGCAAAACCTATATGGGATGTGTCTGAAACACATACGTAATCACAATAATGGTGATGGTTTTCAAGTTTTAATGTAATAAATGCATGTATACCCTGCTTGTACTCAAGGCCATATGGTGCAAGGAGACAAGACATGTGTGTCCACCACATAAGCCCAGGTGATACTGAGCATGCAGTAAGTAGCCTAGCAGAATCCTGAGATGTCACACTGCTTGTTGACAGGCCAACATAAATTTGTTGCTTCAAAATGCCAACAGGGAATGGATATTATACTTTAATGACAAGCACTATATATTAATGCTAGATAAGTTTTGTCAAAACTGTCTGAAACTAAAATTCAAGGATAAAAAAACTAGGGCTGTTGTAATTTACATGACAGAAATAGACGAGGGAAAAAGTATTGTCGAGGTGTATGACATGTATACGTCCACCTGTAAAACGGTACTAGGCAAATTCAGTTTCTGCTTTCAGTAAACAGCAAAACGATGGGTTATGTAGAAAATGACTGAGTGATACAGTTATCAGCCATTACATTTGATCTTATACAGTAGTGTGTAACATTAAATTCTCAGCCACAGCATTTTTTTCATATACCGTAGTTTAATAACTTAAAAAATAAGGCATTCAGGTTCTTCCTGTAGGATAGGCTGAGTGATCACTTTATATAATAGTGCACTCAAAATAAAGGTAGGACAGCATAGGAAATCTAAACAAAACCACTGATGGTCTGCAGTAAAGAAACATTAATAATGTAAATTACTAGTTGTGTAATTGATTTGTAATAAATATTTACCAATGTAAATGACACACGGGAAAATTTTTTAACCACATTCATTACCATCATTGGTGATATCCTTAACCCTTTCACTGTTGGTCCTGTAATATTACGGCTTGCAAGCCAGTGTCAATTATGTAATACGCCAAAATTCTAGTGACTTCAAATCTTGCGGGAGAAAGCTGGTAGGCCTACATATGAGAGAATCGGATCTGAGTTGTCAGTGTGCGCAGCATAAAAAAAAATCCTGCAGCATGCAGTGCATAATGAGAAAAAAAAACTCTGACCATGTTTTTTATTTAAAACACTGACTTTGCGGTGTATTTTCGTATGGTATTTATGGTTTTATTCTCGTTTTCTTGGTCTCAATTGATAGAATGGAAGATATATTACAGAATTAGAGATGATTTTGAATAGTTTATGGACCAAAAGTACCTTGAAATTGAGCTCTAAGTAGCAGAAATGTTCGATTTTTGCCAATGTTCAAAAGTAAACAAATCATGTCACATGTCCAATACACGTCAACTGGTGGGTCTAATATGCTTTCACAAATGTGCTGATACTGTATTATTTATACCATTTTTACATAATGCAGTAGTCTGCATAATATTAAATCTTCTATTTTTTGTGTGAATAAAAATTCAAAATGGAAAGCAAGCATAATATAAGAGGGGCCTGGAGACATGACTAATGAACAGAGAAAACATTATTTTAGTCCTAGGAATGTCTGTATTGTTAATTCTGGACCCTATTTTGAAATTGGCCTTACTCGAATTGTGTATGAAATTGGCCAAATTACCAATTTCTGATCACTTGTTTGGGTAGTTGAAATCGGTAAATGGGTGGTTTCTTGTACTCAATCGATCGATAAAATGGAGTTCTAGTGAAATAGCTATGAGTTTGGTTGACTGGAAGAATGGGATTAGTTGAAAATAGGGGTCAAATTCGACAAAATTGCCAATGCATAAACATCACCAAGACTGCTAACTTTGCGAGGGCGTAATTCCGTAAGTTTTCCATCAAATTTTGTACTTTTGGTGTCATTACCATCAGGAAAAGATTCTCTCTCAGTTCATTTTTTTTTTTATGATGCCTCCAAATTAAAGCATAGTAACCCATATGCTCAATCAGTACATCTTTTTTAAACAGCTTTTTGGATGAGCTGACAATGGTCCTTAAAAAGTGGGAAAGGTGCAATAAATTGAAATCCTAAGAATTTTAATTTTCATTCTTAGTCTGTGTATAGTATATGTACTTGGTAAACTGGAGATTATCAGATTTTTTCAGTACAGTAATAATCTTGTTTGTAACTTAAGTTATACAGTGGACCCCCGCATAACGATTACCTCCGAATGCGACCAATTATGTAAGTGTATTTATGTAAGTGCGTTTGTACGTGTATGTTTGGGGGTCTGAAATGGACTAATCTACTTCACAATATTCCTTATGGGAATAAATTCGGTCAGTACTGGCACCTGAACATACTTATGGAGTGAAAAAATATCGTTAACCGGGGTTCCACTGTACTGTAATAATAATTAATACAACAATGAAAATTTTGTTATAGAAAAGTCAACATGTGCATATAATTATTTTAACAGAATTGGTGCAGTTATTAGGTTTGTCAACAAAATTCCTTTTATTTATTTAATTTTTTTTTTTTTTTTTTTTTTTTTTTTTTTTTTTTTTTTTTTTTTTTAGCATTGGGAGCTGCATATGGTACAGCAAAATCTGGAGTGGGTATTGCAGCCATGTCAGTGATGCGCCCTGAATTGATTATGAAGTGCATTATCCCTGTTGTTATGGCTGGTATCATTGCTATTTACGGCCTTGTGGTGGCTGTTCTCATTGCCGGAAAGCTGTCTACTGCTACTAATGGATATGGTTTATATGAGTAAGTTTTTTATGCTTGTAACTTAGTGGAATTTTACTGTAAATAATTATTTTAATATTCCATCAAAGCATGTTGTGAAATACCCATTATTTCATGGAAATTTGTTTGCTATATATAAAAAATGTTGAATGTATTGGCCATTAACCCTTTGACTGTCGCGGCCATATATATACGTCTTACGAGGTACAGTGTTTGACGTATATATACTCATAAATTCTAGCGGCTTCAAATCAAGCAGGAGAAAGCTGGTAGACCCACATGTCAGAGAATGGGTCTGTGTGGTCAGTGTGCACCATATAAAAAAAATCCTGGAGCACGCAGTGCATAATGAGAAAAAAAACTCCGACCGTTTTTTTTTTAATTAAAATGCAGACTTTGTGGTCTATTTTTGTATAGTATTTATGGTTGTATTCTCGTTTTCGTGGTCTCATTTGATAGAATGGAAAACATATTATAGAAATAGAGGTGATTTTGATTGATTTTACTATAAAAAGAACCTAGAAATGGAGCTCAAAGTAGGGGAAATGTTTGATTTTTGCCAATGTTCAAAAGTAAACAAATGATGCCATTGTCCAATAAATGTCCAACTAGCCATTCTAATATGCAGTCATGAATGGGTTGATGTTATTTATACAATTATTACAGTATTGCAGTAGTCTGCATAATAGTAAGTCTTCTATTTTTTGTTTGAATAAAAATTAAAAATAGAAAGCAAGAGTAATATCAGAGGGGCCTGGAGACATGACTGATGAGCAAAGAAAATGTTATTTTAGAGCCAGGAATGTCTGCATTGTTCATTCTGGACCTTATTTTGAAATTGTCATATTTTTTTAGTTTTCGTGAAATTGGCCAAATTGCAAATTTCTGACCACGTTATTAGGTAGTTGAAATCGGTAAATGGGCAGTTTCTTGTACTCAATCGATAGGAAAAATGGAGTTCTAAAGAAATAGCTATGAGTTTGGGCGACTGGAACAATGGAATTAGCCGAAAATAGGGCTCAGTGGGCGAAATCGCCGATTTGTAAACATCGCCAAGGTCGCTAACTTCGCGAGAGCGTAATTCCTTCAGTTTTCCATCAAATTTCGTTTTTTTGGTGTCATTACAATCGGGAAAAGATTCTCTATCATTTCATAAGAAAAAATTATTTATTTATTTTTTTTTAACCCTTTCAGGGTCCAAGGCCCAAATCTGGAGTCACGCACCAGTGTCCAAGAATTTTCAAAAAAAAAATTTGTTATTTTTTCTTATGAAATCATAGAGAATCTTTTTGTGAAGGTAATAAAACAAAAAGTATGAAATTTGGTGGAAAATTGACGAAATTATGCTCTCGCGAATTTTGATGTGTCACCGATATTTACGAATCGGCGATTTTGCCGACATTGACTCCCATTTTAGGCCAATTACATTATTCCAATCAACCAAATTCTTAGCTATTTCACTAGTATTACCTCTATTCTATCGATTGAGCACAAGAAATCGCCAATTCAACTGTTTCAACTACAAAATAAAGTGATCGGAAATTGTTAATTTGGCCAATTTAACACAAAGTTCAAAATATTCCAATTTCAAAATAGGCTCCAGAATAAACAATGTAGGCATTCCTGGAACTAAACTAACATTTCCTCTGTTCATTAGTTACATTTTGAGGCTTTACAAATAAATTCCATTTTGAGTTTTTATTCACATAATGAATTTTTATTCACACCAAAAAATAGAAGATTTACTGTTATGCAATACTGTAATAATTGTATAAATATCATCACCATATTTGTGAATGTATATTAGACCCACCAGCTGACGTGTATTAGACGTGTGAGGTCGTTTGTTTACTCTTGAATATCGGCAAAAATTTAACATTTCCGCTACTTTGAGCTCAGTTTCAAGCCATTTCCAATGCTAAAACCAATCAAAATCATCTCTATTTCTGTAATATGTCTTCCATTCTATCAAATGAGACCAAGAAATCGCAAATACAGCTATAAAAAACATACGAAAAAACACTGCAAAGTCGCTGTTTTAATCGAAAAATCATGATTTCAGTTTTTTTCTCTCATTATACACAGTGTGCTGCAGGATCTGTTTTATGTGGTGCACACATACCACATAGATGTATTCTCTCATATCTAAGCCCAAATGTACCACTCACAGTTTATCAGAGTGAGCTGAGCTCATGGCGTAGATCTACGGTTTGGACACTCACCGTAAAGCCGTAGATCTACGGGACGGACCCTGAAAGGGTTAAATTTTGCGATGCCAGGAGACACCTCAGGATTGGGGGTTGCGACAGTCAAAGGGTTAAGGTTTTTCATGTAAATCTACATGAGATATGTTATTGAACACTTATTTTGAAGTCTCGGTATGTTTTCTGCTGCATGCTTAATGGCAACCTGTAGGTCTTCCAGTGTATGAAGGAGATTCATATGCACATTCTTTAAAATACTGCATAAAAAGAAATGTAATGTGAACACTGAAACAAAGAAAAAATGGCACTCTTCAAGGGTTTCATTTCTTTTTAAACACCCTGTAATAAGCTTGATTGGCATAAAAGTTGTGTGCATTTGATTCTCTTTATAACACTGCATATTGAAAAAAATTGCATAAGAGAATAGAACCCATTTAGGTAGTGCAAATGATTGAGGATGTCTTTTAAAGCATTTTTATATTTTCCAGAGGGTTTGTTCACCTTGGTGCTGGTCTTAGTGTTGGCCTGTCTGGTCTAGCTGCTGGATTTGCTATTGGAATTGTAGGAGATGCAGGTGTGAGGGGGACTGCCCAACAGCCACGATTGTTTGTGGGCATGATTCTCATTCTCATCTTTGCTGAGGCAAGTGAAAATTGCACCTAAGTTTCTTATACCCCTATTAAACTTATGCCTATGTTACTTATGATCATTTTGTTACTTTACAATTGCTTTACAAAACAAAATTATACAGTGATCTGCAGTTGTTTAAGAGAGAGAAGTGGAGAGAGAATGAGAAAGGGAGAAAGTGAGTAAGAGAATGTGAGTGAGATAGTGAATGTGAGAGAAAGCGAGACAAGACTGGGTGATGAAAACGTTTTAAATGGAGTAATGGTGGAGGGTATTGGTGAGTGGGAGGGGTGGTGGTGAGATGGAGGGAGACTACATATGTACCATACAGTGGGAAGGTGACAAGTTTTAATGTTAGATCTGCAATTCTTTACCTGCCTGCCTCCTTTCCTCTTCCTGCTTGCCTGCCTGCCTCCCTCCCTCCCTCCCTCCCTCCCTCCCTCCCTCCCTCCCTCCCTCCCTCCTTCCCTCCTTCACTCCCTGCTTGCCTGCCTCACTGCTGGCTTAACTCCCTCCTGACTTAGTTTCCTCCATGCTTGTGTGTCTGCCATGTCCTGCCTACCCTGCTACTTTGCCTGGGCATGAGCCTATGAAAGATAGGCTTTCTCTGCTGCTGGGTGCCAGTGCATCTGGATATACCAAGATGGACCCCAATGGGAATAAGTTACTTTGACTTGTTTTGGTCTATCCTGGTAGGTAATTGACACATGCTACTATATATGAGGTATTTATATGTTACTTGTACCTAAATGCACTTACTCTTTTATCAGAATTAATCTATGAACAGGTTGGGTGTGTTCTGGTTTCTTGGAATGTATTACATAAAACCATGTATTTTGGGGTTGAGTTATGATATTTTTGAGATAGTTTGTTTTCTGGAATAGATTAATATTGTAACTCAAGGGATCACAGTACTGGCAAAGCCTGGGAACCAAAGGTTCTAGAAAAATAATCATTGCTGTACCTGTATTAGCATCATGTGGTATTACCATACTACAGCTGTGTACATACAATATTAGCAATTTGTACAACTGGAAATTTGTAACAAAAGCCTTAACCATGCCCACGTATATCATGGTAAGGGTGTAAGCTTGCTCCTTGATTCATTAATGATTTTATTACTGCTGTATGACCCATGTGGGTTTAATTTTTTTTTTCTGCAAGTGTAATTATAGTAATGTGAATTCTTAGTTTTTCTTTGCATTTCTCTTTTTAATATCTTTATCCCGCAGGTGCTGGGTCTCTATGGTCTGATTGTAGCCATCTACTTGTATACCAAGACATCATCATAAATTCAATGCAACTATAAATAAACAGTTGCAGTGTCTTAATATTGGCATGCCCACATATATAGACCTGCCTAAAACTGGATTACCAAAACGGAGTCAAAAGTGCTCTCTCCATTGCAGCTAAACTAGGTTTGTGGCATGATGGTGCTAGTCAGGTTCTGTGCTCACAAATGCTTCAGAGTTTATTCTGTGTAAGATGAAAAGATATATCTTAATGGGCTATATGAATCATTTTAGATTTTCATTTTGCCATATGCTTTAAAGAAAAATTGGGGAAACAGTTTTTAAAAATACAGTATCACACTAATGGCTTTCAAAATTATGAGGAAAGGCTTGTGCTGGCACCATCTTTAAATATTGCTAGAGATCTATCTCGAATAGGTGAGAATTGCTGTCAAGGCCAAAGTGCATTGACTGAGATTGGAGAGTTCATCTGAAAACAAAAAAAATGTAGTTCACATACAGATACATTTAAAAAATTTTATGTACATTAAATTTAAATTTATAATAGTTTACTTATCTAAATATTAAATTATATAGTGAATATTTAGGCACAGTAAAGGGTTTTGGTCTATTTTATTTTATTAATGCTAAATAGTAAATGGAGAGGTAACCATTTTTGAGCTGGAATTAATGCTAAACTTCATTGTCCCTGGTTATTAAACAAACCTGTTTACCAGTGTGTAAGGTTATATATTATATGTATGTGTGTGTGTGTGTGTGTATATATATCTCTTTTCAGCAAACCCACCGGCTGTCTCCCACCAAGGCAGGGTGACCCATATATACATATATGTATGCATGCATATACATATACATATTTACTGTATATTACATTTATATTTATATGAAGCACTAGCAAGTAAAGGGGGCTTAGGAACCAATTTTAAAAAACTGAGAAAAATATGTTTAGTATGAAAGTCACATCTCATAAACTAATAGATATTTGGATCATTCAAATGGTGTTCTGTAGGACATTTCATTAGTTTATTTGTCGGAGTTTCATTTATGTATACATAAGGCATAAATGACAGTATATAAATTTTGGCACGGTCATCTTTTGCGAGTGTATTAGGACAATTTTAAGTAATTCATTGTCTTATATATGTTAAAAACAATTTATTGAATGCATGCATTTTGTTTCATAGTTTTCTAAATCCCAGATATTCGAGAAAATTGCCTCATAACTGGCAGTTATCTCATCAGAGTATCCATCATGACATACAGGACCTATTTCTCAAGCTTGAACAGTTTCACCACTTACAGCATAGCACTATCTGTGTCAAAGATGCCTCAGACCAGACTCAATGTCCTAAGGTCAAGAAGTTCATCACTTTCAAAGCAATTTTAGATCATAATGAATATTATGTATACCTGAAGTATACCAAGTATACTCCAGGTATATATACGACAATTTTGCTTCAGTCCCTCTACCACAAGATGTACAAGCAAAAGCTAAACATAATACAAAAAACATTTTTGGTCAGGGTGGTACTTATACCTGTTTACCTGCCAGTGCCTCGTGTATATATATGAAACTGTATTTTACAAGATAGGGCATATGAGGCATCACATACAGACCTGCATTAGGTTTCTGATATTTATTACTATAGCATAGTGACTGTCTCAGTATTTTCAGATTGCCATCTTATGGAGTTCTCAGTTAGAAAATATTTATTTTTATTTGTACAAGGTTGTTAATATGTATAATATTTACTAATGATATTACTGTGGTGTATAGGTACGGTAATTGGATTTTGATAAATACTTTCAAATTCCAGTAGTGACTGCATTACAAAATTTAGGATGTATGATGTATTTATATTTTAAATAATTAGCCTTACAAACCTAAATATTTAAATAATACACTAAAAGTTTAGTCTCTCGAAAGTCTTAGGTTCACATATCACATTAGTGCTATGTTTCTTGTATATATTCAAAATTAGTTGTAATCTTCAGGCTCTCTTGAGAGTAGATAGTTATTATTTAAAGCACAATTTCAGCATTTAGTAAAGCTGATGAGGTAAAAGCCTTTAAAGGGTTACATTCCAGTTGTATATATTATTTTGTTGACATTAATAGAATCTAGTACTTTGTTTTAACACACTGAAGTTCATGGATGCACTGAAGACAAATGTTTAGATACTTGTCTTGCTTTTCAAATCCTGTAATACGTATATTTGAATATTCAACTTACATAATCGATACAGTATTGTGCATTTTAAAGACTTTAGTAGTTTACTCAAGGTGTATTACTGGACTCCATTGTGTTTAATAAAAAATAATTTTCATTTTCACTTCCTTACATCCTCCTTGTACTACTGTATGGTGGGAAATATGACCATTTCTCACTCTGAGAGTAAATGTAGAACTTTTAGAATCAAATGAATAAATAATCAGTAGTAAATACAGTTTTAAGTGGCTTAATGCACCGCTTCTTCATTAAACAAAGAACACCACTTGCGTTACTCTTCCAAATGAATGTTTGTGATCAAGTATAGCCAATAATTAATCTGTGTCTGAATGTTCTATGAAATGTTATATGATGGAAATTAATGTAGCACTAGGAATATTTAGGGTAGTCCCTCCTTGCTGAACAAGTTTTTGTCTTGAATGTACTATGAGTGCAAAAGTCAGTATTGAGGTGGTTTGTATGTACAGTATCTTAAAAAAAAAAGTAGATTTGTGTAAAAGTTGTTCCATTAAACTAAATGTCTACTATCCCCTTTTATTTTTAAAACCATAAATTATGTTAACAGAAGATTCCTAAAATCACTGCACAGTAATTTACAGATTTAAACTTTTGGGTTTAGTTCTCCCCCATGAATGTAATAAGTGTTTGGAGGATCAGTTGTAGGAAAGTACTGGACTGAGCAGTGCTTACTGGACATGGTCACCAGACATCTTAACAGGCACCTTGAGCTACTTCAAGAATGGCCAGGTGAAGGGCTTTTATTCCAAGGAAGTGCAACAACCTTTCCCTTTCATTGTATTAAACCTGAGGACCTCTTATTTCTAAAGTGCTGCATGACCCAAATGGGTATAGTGCTTCATGATATTTATTGGAGCATATGTGGAATACTGTATTGAATACTGTATTGGAGGATAGAGGAAATCAGAGAAAGCTTGAAATGTTGATCTCAGTTTCCCTAGTATGTATTTGTTACAAGAATCAAAATTCCATTGCACAGTTGTAATTCCTGTCTCTGACTGTCATTTATTACAATCACTCTCTCCTCTTCCCAATGAGACATGCAATGAAAGTGCACTCTTTTTGTGTGAGAATCCCTATTCTCTCCTCTTCAAGGGGGGCTCCTTGGCGTGGTGAAGAGGCTCTTGGTCTGAGGAATTAGACCTGTCGGTCTTCTTCCTCAGACCGAACCTAATTACCCCCCAATCTCCCCTCCCCTATCCCATCCTCCCCTTTTTCCTTTCCTCCTCCTCCTCCCCACCCCTCCCTTTTGCCCTTCCTCTTTTTTGGCCTTTGGGATTTCTCCCACAGGCGCGCTAGTTCCTAGGTAGGGGAAAGGATACCGGGGTCTATCCCATTCCGTTGAGGTTCTTGGCGGTGGCGTAGTTTGCCGTGGAATCTGGATCGCCTGGGGATGTCCCGATCCCTCTCCGGTATCCCGGAGTAGCTTTGGGTGTCTTTCGGGCGACGGGTGTATCTCTGGAAGCCACCTTTTGGATTCCGGGGGTGGTGGCCGAAGGAGGTATGCTTTGTGGCGGATATCCGACCGCCCTCTCTTTTGTCCACCGAGGTAGCTCGGCAGATGTGAGGTTGCTATCCCGGATTGTTAGTTTACTAGCATGATGGGTAGGGTATGGCACGGGTTCCATGCTGCATCTGCGCTACTTGCGGTGCTGAGGTCCTCTTGGGCGCGGAGGGAGATTTCTGGCCCTTTCATTCCTCCTAGGAACTATCCCTCCCCGGTCCCCCTTTTTTTTTATTCTTTTTTTTTTTATTTTCTTCTTTCTTTTTTTTTTCTTAAAAACAAAAAGAAAGAAGTAACCTAACCATGGCAGCCCTAGTCCATGAACCTACTACCCCCGGGCCCCTTCTTGATAACCGCACCCCGTTCTGACCCCGCCTCGTTTGGACCACTCTTCAGACACTCCCTCATGCCTCTGTACCTATTGCCGGTGCTGTTTCCTCCCCGCTTCAGGTACTGAGGCCTCGACTGACTCCTTCGATTTATCGGACCTTCGCTCTCCTCTGACTATGCTTCCAGCCTCTCCCTCTACGGTGCGGCAATTTTCAAATTGCCGACCCGTTCCACGTCGAACCAACTCTGGTCCCACGCCTAAACGCCAACGACAATTACCTGCTGATGATACTTCTCCACCTTCTCGTTCTTCTCAGAAACGATCGACACGTCCTTCACTACCTTTCCACGCTCAGTTTCAGACTGAACAATGGACTAAATTCTTCACTTTACGACCGACTTCCTCTACTGCCTATCTTTCTGACCACAGTATTGGCAAGGCATTCCTACGCCATGTTGGTAAAGATATTTCTTTTCATGCTCTTAAGAGCGGTACGCGCATCATTACCGTACAGAATGCTACCCAGGCTCTGGTGGCCTGGTGGTTAACGCTCTCGCTTCACACGGTGAGGGCCTGGGTTCGATTCCCAGCCAGAGTAGAAACATTGGACGTGTTTCTTTCCACCTGTTGTCTATGTTCCCCATCAGTAAAATGGGTACCTGGGTGTTAGTCGACTGGTGTGGGTCGCATCCTGGGACACTGACCTAAGGAGGCCTGGTCACAGACCGGGCCGCGGGGGCGTTGACCCCCGGAACTCTCTCCAGATAAACTCCAGATGAGCTCTCTCGTCTTTCCCATATCGATACTGTTCCTGTCACTCTTGAAAAACATCATTCCCTCAATTCTTGTAGTGGTACCGTCATTCTGCCCCATACCATAGTTCAACAAAATTTCCAGACATGTGGCACTGACTTTCTTGAACAGCTGGAACTCCAAGATCTCCCAATCCTCAAGGTAGACACTTACGTTCTTCCTGCCCGCGGGCGGAGACCCTAGCAATGTGGCTCGTTTAACTTTTGACAGCCGAGAACTCCCATCCTCAGTTTATATAGCAGGACATCGGTTACAAGTTCGAAAGGTGATCCCTACACCACAACAGTGTAGAAATTGCTGGCGATTTGGCCATCCAGCGAAATATTGCAGATCTATCGCCGAATGCCCAGCCTGTGGTGCCGATGACCATTCTAATACGTCTTGCAATCGATCTCCCTCTTGCCTTAACTGTCATGAGGCTCACCCTTCGTACTCTCGCCGTTGTCAAGTCTATTTAAAACGAGCGGGAAATCCGTTACCTCAAAGAGACAGAAGGTCTCCCTTATGCCATGGCAGTTTCTCATCTCCGCCTCCAAGGAGACTCCCACGTGTTTCTTATTCCCGGTGTTTCAAAACGTCCCCCCCACTTCTGGTATCCCATCTTCCTACACCCACCTCTGTGGTTACCTCTCTCATAGTCACTCCTGTATCTAATCCTTTTGCTGTCCTCGGCTCGGACGTCCCTACTTCAACCCTCAGTCTGATCTCGCTTCTTCAGTTCCCCTCACACCTCAGTATCGACGAGCCTCGTACACACCTCCTCCCAAATCGCCCTCTACTTCTCAAAAGCAAAAAAAGGTCCTTAACACCTACCCATTCTTCCCCCTCCTCATTTTAACCCTCCCGCCTGTCCCGGGTTTTTTCCCCCCCTCCATGCTCAGTTACAAGTGTAAGGTTACACCCCCCCTCGTACTGTCCCTTTCCTCCCCTGTTCCCCCCAAAATTTTCCCCTTCCTCTTCTCCCACCTCCCATCCTGCCTTTTCGTCCCCTCCCACGCTTCCCCAGTTCCCTCCACCCCTTTTCCCCCCCCCCCTACCTTGGTACGTCCAATACAGTTCCAATCTTTACTCATCCTCCCCCTACCTTTCCAATATTTTCTCCCCTACGACGTCTCTGAAATTTAGAAACACTTGAACAAACTCTGAATATATTTCAGAGACCAAAACCCTCAATGACACTGATCCACCTTCCGCCTTTCTCTCCCCTCTCCATCTGCCAACTCCTTTTTTCCAGCACACCGTTCCTTCGCTGCTTGAACATTTTTTTCCCCTGCCCCGCATGTGGACTTTTTTAACCCCTCTATCCAGAACCCTTACCTGCGGATTTTAATATCTTTATCATTGCCAAACATGGCCCATTTACAGTGGAATTACCGGCCTCAGGGGGAATCGGGGGGAGCTTCAGATTTACTCTCCCAGTTTGCCCCTGTTGGTGTTTGCTTCAGGAACCCAAAATTACACCTGCGTTTTTTCCCCCCACTCGGGCTATAATTTTATTTTATTCTTCAGACCCTTTTTTCCTGATGGGACCTTAATGAAAGTGCCCTTCTTCACGCACTTATTTTCCTACCTCAGCTATTTGTTCAACTTCGCTGCATTACACGCAGCCCGATCCACTTACTGGGTGGTATACCTCTGTTTTTTATATCTCCCCTTCTCGGGATTTTATCTACCCGGGATATTGCCTTCTAGTTTCGTCATTACCGCCACCGATTCTGTTACTTGGGGATTTTAATGCCCACCATTTCCTCGGGGGGGTCCACTGTGATTCCTGGGGAATTTCAGTTAGAGGCTTTTCTTGCCACCCACCCCCTCCAGTTTTTAAATACAGGTACCAAAAACCCATTTTGACCCCGGGACTCATACTCCTCTTGCTTTTGTCTCTCAGTCTGCTCTTCCCTCCCCGCATTAGACTTCATTGGTCTGTTTCCCCGACTTACATACAGTGACTTTTCCCCAACATTTTCTTACTTCCCTTTCATTTTTTCGCCACCTCTTCGCACCCCACGCGGCAATTTAATCGGGCAAATTGGAACCTTTACTCACACCTAACTGTTTTTAAAGAGGTTCCTTTTTTCGCCTCCATTGATGACTTTTAAAACCTCTTCCGTCCTCCTTTTTTCACCGCAGCTTCTCATTCTATACCCCAAACTTCGGGCAGGCATTCTCAAAAGCGTGCCTTGGGGTCTCCTGCTTGTGCCTGCAGTAGTTTGAGACTCCTGCAGGGGGCAGGTACTAAAATTTAAAATAGAACCCAAGAAACCCCTTGATTTTAAACAGAAGAGTGTGATCGCTCGCCATTCATCCGTGACCAAAAAACGCATTTGCTGGCGAGATTATGTCTCCCCCACACCCTGTTTCCTCTAGGTCAGCTGGAAAAAAGTACAAAACTGAGTGGTAAAATTCTCCTGACCCGGCTCCTGTTCTGCGGGTTGGCCGGTGTTGATAAGCAAACCCACTGGGTGTTGCCAATAAATTGGCAATCACTAGTCCGATTTCTCAGGGACTCCATCTATCCCCCATTTTTTTCCTAAATCTGCCAGAGAGTTAGCACCCTTTGGACTTTCTTCTCCAGAGAAGAACAGTATAATGTCCTTTTACACTCAAAAACTGGGGGCAACACTCCAGCTTGCAATCATCGCACTGGCCCGACGACATTTATTTCGATGTAAAAACATTTACATCAGTCAGCCCTTTCAGTCCTATTTTTGCCTTTTTAATCTTATTTGGGCACAAGGATTCTTCCACATGTGAAATCCGCCTTGTTTTTCCCCTTTCCCCAAAACCCGGGGACTACGGGGAACCTGAAAACCTCCCCCATCGTCCCATTGCTCTTACCATGCATTTGCAAGTAAAGG